GCAAGCTCTTGAGAACGGACAGTCTTTCCTCCTCCCTCTCCCTCACTCCCTGCCTCCAATCAGCCACCAAGTTCTGTTATCTCTGCGTCTGAAACCCCACTCTTCTCCAGCCCCTGCCCCTGCCTAGCCCAGGCCCATCCCTCCCCACCTGGATGTCTACAGCCACCTTCCTCTAACTGGTCCCTGAATTCACACCTGCTCCCACCCCAATCGTCAGCCCTCCTGAAGAGTGATCGTTCTAACATGCCAATATGATTATGTCAGTCCCAGAGGCGAAACTGCAAATCCCTAGCAACACCCATCAGCCATTTTGGGACATGGCCTGTATCTAACCACCACCAGCTCCTTCAACCCTGCATTTCATGCTGAGGCCACTCTTAAACACACCCGGATCTTCCCATCCCTGATACCTGCTTCCTGCCTTCTGTCTTCATGCCCGCCCTCAGTTCATGCTTTTGCTTTGTCTAAATATATTTTCTTTTTTTCCCCCTTTCATTTTCTTTTTTAATTTTTATTTTATTTATTTTTAATTTTTTTGAGACTGGGTCTCACTCTGTTGCCCAGGCTGCAGTGCAGTGGCACAATCTCAGCTCACTGCAGCCTCCATCTTCCAGGCTCAGGCAATTCTTGTGCCTCAGCCTCCTGAGTAGCTGGGATTACAGGCATGCACCACCATGCCTGGCTAATTTTTGTATTTTTTGTAGAAACAGGGTATTGATATGTTGTCCAGGCTGATTTTGAACTCCTGGGTTCGAGTCATTGTTTTGCCTCAGTCTCCTAAAGTGCTGGGATTACAGGGCTGAGCCACCACATCCAGCTCCTAAATATATTTTCTTTAGGAATCTTCTCTGAACACCAGACTCCCAAGAACACTGGCCATCCGCCATCTAATCTTGCATCTCATACTGGATTTGAGATGCAAGATTAATGGCTAGTTTTCTTGCCTGTCTTTGCCACTCAATTATCATCTCTGAGAGGGCAGGAACCACCATCGTGTGATCCACCACCGTCCCACCAGCACTCAGCACAAGACCCAGCACGTGGTGGGTACTCAGTGAGTGTTTGCTAAGTGAACAAATGCATTGAAGGGAGAACCAGTGGGCAGAGGGCAAAGGCCCACCCTGGGCCAGGGGCTGGGGCCTTAGAAGGGCAACTGCATGCAGAAGCCTGGCAGAGAGCACCTGGTCACATTGGCCTTGAGGAGCAGTTTGTTTCCAAGGGAAGCCTTAGAGTCCACATCAAATGTGATATTAAAGGTGACCTGGAATGGGAGAAAGGAGAAGCAATGATAGAAATAGGAGAGAAGAAATAACCCAAATGCCCGTCATCTGATTAATGGAGACATGAAATATGGCCCATCCATACAACAGGATATTGTTCACCAAATAAAAAGCAGTGAAGGCCGGGCGCGGTGGCTCATGCCTGTAATCCTAGCACTTTGGGAGGCTGAGGCAGGTGGATCACCTGAGGTTGGGAGTTCGAGACCAGCCTGGCCAACATGGCGAAACCCTGTATCTACTAAAAATACAAAAATTAACTGGGCATGGTGGCAGGCGCATGTAACCCCAGCTACTTGGGAGGGTGAGGCACCAGAATCGCTTAAACCTGGGAGGCGGAGGTTGCAGTGAGCCAAGATTGCATCACTGCACTCCAGCCTGGGTGACAAAGTGAGACTCCATCTCAAAAAATATACTAAAAAATTTTTTTTAATGTAAAGCAATGAAGTACTGACACATACAACGATGTGAATGATCCTTGCTAAGTCCTTGCTTAACATTATGCTAGCAAAAGGATCACATACGGTATTATTTCATTTATATGAAATGTCCAGAACAGGCAAATCTGTAGACACAAAGTAGATTAGTGGTTGCCTAGAGCTGGGGGAGATGGGAGGGTTGGGGTTGAGGGCCAACAGGAACAGAGGCTTTTTGTGAGGTAATGAAGATGTTCTGAAATGGATCATGATGATGGATGCAAGACCCTGTGAATTCACTCAAAGCCACTGAACTGTATGCTTTATTTTATTTTATTTTATTTTATTTTATTTTATTTTATTTTATTTTTGAGACAGGGTCTCACTCTGTTGCCCAGGCTAGAGTGCAGTGGTGTTATCATAGCTCGCTGCAGCCTCAACCTCCCAGGCTTAGAAGATCCTCCCACCCCAGCCTCCCAAGTAGCTGGGACTACAGGTGTGCACCACCAGCCCCAGCTAATTTTTACAGTTTTTGTAGAGACAGGGTCTTGCCATGTCACCTAGGCTGGTTTCAAACTCTTGGACTCAAGCAATCCTCCTGCCTCGACCTCCTAAAGTGCTAGGATTACAAACATGAGCCACTGTGCTGGGTTTGAAATGTATGCTTTAAATAGGTGAATTGGATGGTATGTGAATTATATCTCAATAAAGCTGTTTTGTACAAAAAAGAATCACTAATAAAGAAGAGAAGAAGAAGAAAAGAATCCCCAAAGAAATCAAAGAAAAAAGGAGGGAAGGAGCCAGGAGTTCTGACCTCTGAGTTTTCTGGGAAGATGGGGTGGTTTATGCTGCAGCTGGTGCTCTTCAAGGCCCCAGGCACTTCGGTGGAGGAGGCAGACTCACAGGCCAGGCGCCAGGATCGCTGTGAGCGCTGGTTCTGGAAGGCAAGGGAGGCAAAGGTGGTGATATCCACCTCCAGCCATGAGGACGGTGAAGCCAAGGTCAGATGGAGCCTGAGAAGGATGTGGTTACCTGGAGCCTGGACACCTTCCGGTAGGACAGGCCAAGCGGGAAGAAGAAGGTGACCTGTGTCCTGTACGAGTCCTCGCCGTCATTTCTCACAGTCACTGTCACGTTGAACTCCCGGGGCCCACCCACCACGAGGCAGTCCAGGCTGTGGGAAGAAGACAGGCCGGGGGTGGGGCGCTGGGGGCTTCCCTGTGGCAAAGCCTGCTTCAGCGGAACGGAGACTCAGGGCACTGGATGAGAGACAACAGTACAGGGGCAGCCACACGGGACCTCAGAGCCCAGGAACACCCGGCTCCCTTGGGGGCCAGGAGGAGAACACAGCGGGTCATGGTCCGGGTCCTCCTCTGGAGGAGGTGTGGAGGAAAGGAAACTCACCTCATGAAACTGAAGGTGATGCTGAGGTCATCCTGGCAAATGTTGTCATTGCCACAATTCTTCTCAAAGGGAAACTTTTAAAAAAATGAATATGATCAAATGAAAGGAAAGGAAATAACCAAATGTTGTGAAATTAAACAATAAAATAAAATGTTGAAGTAAAATTAGATGCAATCAAATAAAATGAGTTTCAACCACCTTGGCCTCTGGTCTCTTCCACACCCCTGCGGGACCCCAACTCTGGACTCACTAAGGCTATGAAGAGTCTCTGAGCATCCTCAGCCAGCACCGGCCGGAGATTCCCGAAAGCAGACAAGGGAGTTCCCACCAGAGAGAAGTTCAGGCGCAGCACAATGGGGCTCACTGGGTCCTCGATGCAATCCTAAGAGATAGCCGGGATTTGGGGATCTGCCTTCCTTAGCTCCCCAAGCCCACCCCATGCTTGGAGAACACAGGGTTCTGGCCACTCTCCTGCTCACCGGCAACTGTAGCTTCAGGGTCTCACAAGTCTGGGTCAGCCCCAAGGTCTTCGTCTGCCTGCGCGTGCTGTTCTTTGTCTCACCGAAGACAGCGCGGGAACGTGGGCGACCGGAGTCCAGAGCCAGGTCGTAAGTTACAACACTCTGGATCTGCCCTGAAGGGACAGGGTGGGCACAGCGGTTGAGCAGCCTGCACCTCGGAGCTTGGCAGATGGGAGCTTGAGGCCCAGCTCCTCTGCTTCTCAACTGTGCGACTTGGGGTATGTTGTCTGAACTCTCTGAGTCTCCCTTGCTTGCTTGCTTGCTTGCTTCCTTCCTTCCTTCCTTCCTTCCTTCCTTCCTTCCTTTTTCCTTTCTTTCTTTTCTTTTCTTTCTTTCCTTCTTTCTTTCTTTCTCTTTCTTTCTTTTCCTTCCTCCCTTCCTTCCTTTCCTTCCTTCCTTCCTTTTTTCCTTCTTTCCTTTCTTTCCTTCTTTCCTTTTCTTCCTTTCCTTCCTTCTCTTCTTCCTTCCTTCCTTTCTTTTTAGTTTTTATTTTCTTTTTTGAGACAGAATCTCGCTCTGTTGCCCAGGCTGGAGTGCAGGGGTGCAATCTTAGCTCACTGCAACCTCTGCCTCCCAGGTTCAAGCGATTCTCCTGCCTCAGCCTCCCGAGTAGCTGGGATTACAGGCACATGCCACCACATCCTGCTAATTTTTGTATTTTTAATAGAGATAGGGTTTCACCATGTTGGCCAGGCTGGTCTCGAACTAATCCACCTGCCTCAGCCTCCCAAAGCACTGGGATAAAAGGCGTGAGCCACTGCGCCTGGCCTCCATTCTTTATTTTTAAAGTGAGGATAATAATGATAATAATGACACCCTCCCAATGGTAAAAAGGAAATGAAACAGTGCTTATCAAGTATTTAGCACAGTGCCTTTTATACAATAAGTGCTCAATAAATGGTAGCTATTCTGTTACTCAATAAAAAATTTACTGTATTTTTCTGGCTACTTTACATTTTTTTTCTCTTTGTCTTTGGTCTTCAGCAGTTTGATTATAACATACATTGATATAATGTCCTTCATATTTATCCTGCTTTGATTTTGTAAAGAATCTTGATGTCTTTCATCAGTTTGGGGAATTTTTTTTTTTTAACGGACTTTCACTCTTGTCACCCTGGCTGGAATGCAATGGGGCGAGCTCAGGTCACTGCAACCTCCGCCTCCCAGTTTCAAGCGATTCTGCTTCAGCCTCCTGAGTAGCTGGGATTACAGATGCGTGCCACCACACCTGCTAATTTTGTATTTTTTGTAGAGATGGGATTTCAGCATGTTGGCCAGGCTGGTCTCAAACTCCTGTCCTCAGGTGATCCACCTGCCTCGGCCTCCCAAAGTGCTGGGATTACAGGTGTGAGCCACCACGCGACTGGCCAGTTTGGGGAAATTCTTTTTTTATTATTATTCTTATAATTTTATTAGTATGCATAAACGGTTAATGGATGGTTAATGGACAGATTAGTATGCATAAACGGTTACCAACCTGACTGACCTATCTTACCTACCCTGTAGAGAAAGTATATGTTATTTTAGCTAACTTACCCAGTGCCTGTTCACAAGTTGGCTAAAACTGTCATCTTGGACCCAAGTTGATACAATAGATAAATCTAACTTATATAATCACCCATTATATCTTAACAAAAAATAAATTAAAAACCATTAGCTAAAATAATGTCACTTTTCTTCAGCTTTTAAAATGCCTGTCCAACTTGCTTACTGGGATTAGAAGCAGAAGCCTGACAAAGAAGCATAAGATAAAAATACTGTGAGACTGTCCATCATCGACGCTTTGTTGATCGGACGTTCTCTCATACTGATGTATCAAAAATACATTTTGAAGAGTAAAGGAAGAAATATCTTCATCCAGTTCTTAAATTCCTTACCCCTTAAGTGTCCACATTAATAAGTCTTATGTCCAAGTGAAACATCATGACAACATCTGAGTTTTGCAATGTACACTACACTGAAAGGCAAATCAAATAGCAAAGTACTTAAGAATCTGGGAAATGCTACTCAATCCCCTTTTTCTGCTTTATTCATCTGGACACAAGTACATAACCCTGGAAACAGAAAACATACTCTTGCGGTATTTCCAGAATAGTAACAATTAACTTTTCCACCATGAATAAAAGCAGCCCATGCAGCCCAGGCCAATTACACAGAAATAGGCAGCTCCTATAAAAAGAGTAGCAGTCCTCTGGTCTGTCTCTCATTATCGCAAAGGTGGTTATCTCCACTGCAGTGTTGGCCCAACTTCCTCCACCAGGAGGTGGGAATAGACATTCTTGAACAGAAGACAGTCTGATCGCTTTCATTTTTGCAGCAGGATTTGTTCCAGTATTTATAATGGCATTTCAATGAGTCATCTATTCCACTGCATATTCTGATCAAATGACATCCAAGAGCTTAAGAAGATCATCACCCTGACTGGATATGAGCAAAAGGCTTGGCCTGGTACAAACTCTGGACAATCAATCAGTTGAGAGAAGTCTGTTGGTGGCACATTGCGTGGAAGAGGGCCTGGAACTGGCCACTTTTCTGGTTCTATCTTTTTTCTCATTTTCTCATCCACAATTTCTACTTCTGTGCTATCCTTCAGTGCTTCTAAGATGAGATTAAAGTTTGTAGTGAGAGCCTGAACACGCTGAAAACCAGCAATCAGGGAAATAGGCAAGAAACCTTGTTCATCCATCTTTCCCCGAAGAAAGAAGTCTCGTTCCAAATTTTCTACACTGAAGTAATATTCAATTTGACGCTTAATATACTCTTTAAGCAATGCTTCTTCCACAGGATACACCTGTACACCTGTACCATCATCATAGTAATACATCATGCTGGTATTACGTCCTGTTTGAAATGGTCAATCAGTCCTTTCACCATGTTCTTGACAACCATATGAATAGTCAAAGTTCAGTCGAGGATTTCCTCTGCCTGGTCCTCTTCCCCATCCTCCGCCTCTTCCTCGACCTCTAAAGGAACCTCGGCTATTACCACCCTCACTTCTCACACTGGAAACTTCATCTTGATCATCTCTTTTTTTCTCTGTCTCGCCTCCAATTTCGTGTATCATTTCTCCTATTGTTATGTGTTGGTTTATTTGCTTCAGGTTGACATCTTCAGCTGTTCCGGGATCCAGGTCTTCCTTGACTCTCTGATCTTACATCATCTAAGTAGAGTGGTACCCACTTACGCTTATTAGCTCTCTTTCGTTGATTACTTGACTGAGCCTCATCCTCACTGACATTTTCACCAGGACCATTTAACTTTGTTTCCCGATTTTCTTTGCTCTCATTGTTACTTCTCTTTTCAACCTTCTCTTCTTTTTCTTTTCTATTTTGTAGCTTTTTATTTCTTTGGCTGAGGACACTCTGAAATCCAGTGTTCGCTGATTCACTTGGCGTTGGCCAATTCTCCATATCGCTGAAATCACTAGCCTTGTTGGATTTCTTTGTCTTGAGTTTTCCTGCTTTTATAATTTTGAGGAAACCGAACTCGGCTCCTTCCCTCGCCGGGCCACCCGCGGGAGTTGAGGGATTCGACCGCCCGGGTGCCGCTCGGCCCGAAGGCCTGCCCCGCCCCAGCGGCCCTCCAAGTGCGAGGGATGACTAAGGGGACAACTCCCGGCTCACGGGCTGAGGCCGCTCCTACTGCGGGCTCAGGGGCGGGGCGCGCACTAGGCCTCTGTGGCTCGCGGCCTGTCCCCGCGGCGACGGTGGCCAAGGGCCTGAGCGGGCCGCGCACACGGCGCCGGGAGGACCGGGCGCTTGATTTGCCGTTAGGCCCTAAAGCTGGGTCGCGGCTAGGCTAAGGGAGGGGACGCTGTGTCGCCCTCTGGCCTGGGGCGGCTCCCAAGTGAAGTCGGAAATTCTTTAACATCTTTCCTATTCCATCCTATTCCATCTTTCCTATTCTGTCTTTCCTATTCCATCTTTCCTATTTTCTTTCTCTCACTCTCTCTCTCTGTCTCTCTCTCTCTCTCTCCTCCCTCACCACCACTTTCTGTAATTCCAATTACACGTTTGTTAGATCTTTCACCATATCCCACACATCTCTTACGATGTTTTTCTGTATTTTTCATTCTTTTTACCTGCATATTTATCCAGATACTTTCAAATGACTTCTTCTAGTTCACTAATTCTCTGTTCTGCTTCTAATCTGCTATAAATCTATTTACTGAATTCTTCATTTCAGTCATTGCGTTTTTTGGTTCTAGAGTTTCCATTTGACTCTATTTTATGAATTCCAGGTTTTTGATGAAGTTCTCATCCTTTCTCTTTTTTCTTGAAGATATTAATTATAGTTACCTTTTTAAAATTCCTATCCAATCATTCTAATTTCTGAATCACCTGTGGGTCTGTTTCTATTGTATATTGTTTCTCTTGGTTGCTAGTCAGTTGTCTCAATGGAAAGACCAAGGCATTTACCAAGGCCTCTCAAATCTCTGTCTCCCCAGCAGTGGGGAGCTGCTGAATTCTCTGATCAGCTCTTTGGCTTTTCAGTTGCTGTTTTCTACTGGGTTTCTTGGAGTGCTGACCTGGGCATTCATGTCTTAGGAGTCAGCCAAAGAGTAGAGGGGGATTTCTATGTAGGTTTGGGGGTAACTCTTCTTCAATTCCCTACTCTCTAACATTTTGCTCTTAATTTCTAGCCATGCTGGCTGCCCTCATATCTGGAATGCTATCTCCTCAGCCTAGGAAAACTGCTCCTAGAAAGGTAATCATTTTTTAGGGATGGGTCTTGCTATGTTGCCCAGGCTGGCCTCAACCTCCTGGGCTCAGATGATCCTCCCACCTCAGCCTCTCAAGTAGCTGAGACTACAAGAAATTGCCATCATGCCCAGCTAATAATTTTACCTTTAAAGAGGATACAATTCTTTCTAGTACTGTCATTACTAGAGACAGTTATTCCTACTACTGTCACTACTAGAGACAGTTATTCTTAGTACTGTCATTACTATTCTCCCACCCCAAACACAATTCTACTCTTTGAGAATAGGAACAAGGGAAGAAGTCACCGGTGATAAAATGTGTATGTGAGTGCTTTGTAAATTTCTGTTTAGCTTCATCAATTCAATCTCCCCAAATAGGTTTTCTCTCCATTTATTAAAAAACAAAAACATGGTTTGTTCACAGGCATGGGGACCTCAGTCCTCCGGAGAACTGAGGGAGTAAGGAAGTGCCACATGCCCACCTCTTTAGGGAGGTCCACTGGACTTCCCCACCCAGCAGGGCAATAGCCTGCTCACTCAGGTAAGTCTTGGAGAAGGTTGTCAGAGCCTGTGAGAACTCAGTTCAGGACAGCCAGAAGGCTGGGCAGAGTGGGTTGCAGCACTCATTCATGTCCTCGGTCATTTAACCTCTTGAGACTCACCTTCTCTTAGCCGATCCCGTGTGCTCTTCTGGACACGGAGGCAGACTCTGACCTCCCCAGCTTCCTTGCCTTTCACCATCTGATCATTACACTCAAATACATTCCTTGCCACTTCCCTGGGATTGAACTCCATAGTTGCCTCTACTCTCAGTACTGGCTGGGACCTGCAGGGACACCAGAAAACCATCAGGGACCTTCAAACAAGAAACATTCCTTCAAGGGAGAATGTCTGGTTGACTCCAAAAGGCATTCTCACCTGACCAACAGCACGTGCCCCTGGGCTCCTACACTCAGGTCCACCAGTCCATCCATTGTGAGGTCCTGCCCCCCACTCAGTGACTGACCAAAATACTGGAACCTGGAAGGGAGCTTGGAGCCTGCTATCCGCTGAGGGTAAAAAAGAGGTGGAGAGAGAGGGGTTAGGAAAGACAGGAGATATATAACTCAGTCATCCAGCATGACCCAGACAGAGGTTCTCTAAGCTCTACTCAAGTCTCATCTCTTGCAACTAACCAAGGAACTAGGGCAGCTTAGACCTTATCAAGGAATTATTCACCTTTAGACCACAACCTCAAGAGGATACCCATAATTTCTTTTTTAAAAAAACTTTAAAAATAAAAGTGGGGGTCTCACTTTGTGGCCCAGGCCGGTCTTGAACTCCTGGGCTCAAGCAATTCTGCCCTATCAGCCTCTCAAGTGCTAGGATTACAGGTGTGAGCCACCACACCCAACCCCAAGTTTCTATTAATTACCTGCATTTCCCTGGGTACAGGGAAAAGTAAAAGTATATTATTCAGCTCAGCTGAATTTCATTTATGTAGTCAGAATAATGCAAATACTGAATGTTGATCTAACCAAAATGATCACATAAACATGAGGAGTGAATGGGGGTAAAAGAGTGCTACTATGTGGCAAAAGGAAAACTGAAAAAGATATCAATCTCCACCTTCCATGGTGGGAAGTCAGTGCTAAAACAAAAATCAAAAAGTAGCAAAATTATTATTATGTAATTTGAACAGATAGAGAATTGAAAGAGCTGAAAGTGGTTCTGTCAAGAGCAGGGGAAATGAAGCCAAAACCATAGTGTATGTGGAAATTGTTGTTTTTTTAACAGTGAGCTTTTTGGAACTATTTTGACTCTTTAAAGTATGTGCAAGAGTAATATTGAAAAACTGACAGCCAAATAATAAATTTTAAAGAAATTTTAAAAGTGATTTTGTCATGTCCTTAATGCCAGTGAATTGGACACTTTTAATTATGGTATAAAAGTTATAAGACAAAGATATTAAAAATAACTATAGCTAAAATTATGTTACTGGATACACAATATAAATAACTGTAAATTGTGAATCAATAACATAAAACATGTAGTGGGGAATAAAAGTATAGGGTGTATGTGATTTAAGTTCAGTTGTTATCAGCTTAAAATAGACCATGATAATTATAAGACGTTTTGTGGAAAACACAAAGAAAATACCTTTAGAAGTTATATACACAAAAAGAAAACAGAATGAAAGCATATTAATACAAAAATTAACAACAATAAAACACAAAGGAAGACAGCAAGGAAGAAAAGAGGGACAAAAGACCTACATGACAAACAGAAAACAATTAATAAAATTGCAGTAGTAAATCCTTCTCTAACAATAATTACTTTAAATGTAAGCAGAAGTAAACTCTCAAAACAGAGTGGCAGAATTAATAAAAATGCAAAATCCAATTATATGCTGTCTACAAATTACCCACTCTGTATTTACTGACACTTAGGCTAAAAGTAAAGGAGCAGAAAATGCTATTCCTTGAAAATGGCAACCAAAAGAGAGCAGAATGACATGCTAATACAGACAAAATGACTTTAAGTCAAGAAACAAATTATGATATTATATAATGATGAAATGGCCATTTCACCAGGAGTTGTAACAATTAATTATATACACACCCATCAGACATCTAAATATATAAAGCAAATAATGACAGAACTGAAGGGAGAAATAAACAGCAATTCAATAGTAAGAAACTTCAAAATCCTACCTTCAATAGCAAGTAGAACAACTAGGCAAAAAAAAAAAAAAAAAAAGAGAGAGAGAGAAATAGTACATTTGAATGACACTATGGACCAAATGGCCTTAACAGACATATACAAAATGCACAAGCTAACTACTGCAGAATATACATGCTTCTCAAGCACACATGGACCATTCCCCAGGACAGACCACATATTAGGTCACAAAACAAGTCTTAGCAAATTTAAAATGATTGAAATTATATCAAGAATCTTTTCCAACCACAATGGAACGAAACTAAAATTCAATACCAGAAGAAAAACTGGAAAAAACATACATATGTAAAAATTAAGCAATACACCCTTGAACAACCAATGGATAAAAAAAGAAATTAGAAAATAATTTTTTTATCCATTGAGATAAATGAAAACAAAAATGTAATATACCAAACTTACTGGGAGGCAGCAAAAGCAGTACTAAAGGGAAGTTCAGAGTGATAAACACCTAACTTTAAAATAAAAAGAAAGATTTCAATTACAAAACCTAACTTTACACCTCGAAGAATGAGAAATAAAAGAACAAACTAAACCTAAAGTTAGTAGAAGGAAGAAAATAACAAAGATCACAGAAAAATACATCAAATAGAGAATAGGAAAAAAATCAATGAAATTAAGTTGATTTTTCAAAAAGATAGAATTGACAAGCTTTGGCCAGGTGCGGTGGCTCATGCCTGCAATCCCAGCACTTTGGGATGTCGAGGCAGGTGGATCACCTGAGGTGAGGAGTTCAAAACGAGCCTGACCAACATGGTGAAACCCTGTCTCTACTAAAAATATGAAAATCAGTCAGGTGTGGTGGCACATGCCTGTAGTGCCAGCTACTCGGGAGCCTGAGGCAGGAGAATCACTTGAATTTGCAAGGTGGAGAATGAAATGAGCTGTGATCATGCCACTGCACTCCAGTCTGGGCAACAGAGCAAGACTCCGTCTCAGAAAAAAAAAAAAAAAAAAAAGACTCCGTCTCAGAAAAAAAAAAAAAAAAAGAATTGACAAGCTTTTAGGTAGACCAAGGAAAAAGGGAGAAACAACAGAAACAAAAGATAAGTAAAATTATAAATGAAAGAACATACAACTGATGCCATAGAACATACAACTGATG